TGAAATCAGTTACAATAGATACTGCTTCTTCATGTTTAAAAGTTTTAGTTTCCTGCAGAATCAGCCCTGACCACTGTTCCTGACTTCCTGTTAAGAGTGACTCCTTTCTCAAGCAGAGCGCTATGCAGTCACCCTTGTGTGTGCTAGTAAGCTATGTGTGTCTCCACAAACACACAGGACCGGTGTCCCTGTTTTTCTACATGTGCGTCACGGCTGCCACCCGTTGATCACCGTAGCACCCAACTTTTCTTTATTTGGAGTGAGCGGTTAGGAGTGCGATGGGTTCATGGACTTTCCGCAAACACACAGACACAGCAAATCAAGCTACTTTCCTCCCTCTGGCCCCCTCTCTCCCCTCCTCCAAGCCAGTAGATGAACAGTTGCTGGAGTCTGCACTGTCCTTTGTGATCTTGTACTGTACAGGAAGTTCAGGGAAGCTTAGCTAAGAGACTTGGAAGCAGCTGTTCAGAAATAAGACGATTGTAAGTGTTTGGGTAATGCTTTGCTGGGCAATTTCTATTTGTTTAATCTGGATTAATTACTGAAAAAAAGGTTTGAGAGTTTAACCTCTTGCCGTCCGCCCGTTAAGAAAAAACGGACGGACGGCTGACTCCTATCTGCGGGACGGCATTTTTTTCCTGCTCGCGCGCGCCATTTAAGTTCCACTTTTAAGGAAACCTGTCATGAGGAAAACATGTAGGGTACCACTCCTGACTAAGGATGGGCTGCATGTTCAGAACCGAACACGGGGGTGTTCACTGACCTGAAATGAGTATGCCATGACTTGATGTATGCTCATTCTAGGTCAATGGAACATACATATACCCCTGTGAATTCTGACCTCCTGATCATTCTCTCCCTTTTTTCTGTGAGTCGCAATATTTGTTTTATTTAAACCAAATATTGCTGCCTATGCGACTGGTGGTGGAAGCAGGCTGAACAGACCAAATAAGACATGCCCACCCATGAAGATCCAGGTTCTGTAGGAATAACATATTTGCATTGGTGTTTGGTAGGAGATATGTTATTCAATAACATAAGTGCAATAGTGTAAAGTAGAAATGCCCATGAAGCTACTTACCTGAAAGACCACAGCTGTTCTACATGTCCCCCTCTGCTATCTCAATGGTGACACTGGGCGCTGGAACGCTGAAGGCAGTGTCTCACAGATATCAATGGTAGCTTTCAGCGGAACTCAATAGGTGTTGGGTGCCGGAACTCCAAAGTCACCATTAGATGGAATCTAGATATGAATCGGCAGTATGGGCTAGTATGAGACAGATGAGGGAAGAGTAGAGTCTGTGGTATTATTTAACAATCATTTTTCCCCAAAGATATGTAATTCTGGGAGAATAGCGGCCAGTACACGGCAGATAACTCAATGCAGAAAGTCCCTGAGCACAGTATTCTGAAGAAGGCCGTTCAAAATATCAAAAAAAATGAAATGAAGTACATAACTACATTAGCTATACTGTATTTAAAATACATTTAAACCCCCCATTCGATTTGTTTTGGGCAGAACAATGAAGAAATAGAACCTCTGTAAGGTTTATAATTGCATTCCATGTCCCTATTCGGGAGATTTCCCCTCAGTGCAGGAAGTAATGTGGAATTTCTCCACTGGAGACCCAGGCTGCAACAAAACCAGCAATCTGCAACCCAACTCATGACAGGCATGTCTTTGTTATGGCTCTCCAAGTCCTATTCCATGAAAGACCTGGGTTACATGACCTGCACTGATGATGGCCAACAATCCTGCAACAGTTCTATGCAGCTTGGAATAACCGGCTTTATATTTAGCTGGGTCTGATCTACACAGCGTAACGTTCTGGATGCATGGTTGGCCCAGGAGGATAAAGGAATGATTTGATTGGCTCTGCCTACTCTCTTATAATGTGGGATAAACACCTTATTTTTTTGGATTTGTGATAGAAGTGAGACATGCAGATATCCTCAGTGATGGTTGGGTCGTTACGCAACAAAGTGATGCCATTGCAGAATTCTCCTGTGAGTCCAGGGTGATCTGACGACATGCCACTAGGGCGTGGATCCTTACGCCCTGGCTGTACAAAAAGTGGGTTGGACTCTGGGCGTCATTGAACCTAGCAGACAACCAGGGCTGGATCACAGAGCTGTGAGTCTGCAGGGCCCAGTACCAGAGAGAAAGAGAGTATTGCTGCCAAACCTACATTTTTTATTTTTAACAATGCTGGAATATATCTTTTTTTTTTGGGGGGGGGGGCTTTAACCCTTTCCCTGACACAGACATATGTAATACATCTGTGGCAGTGCCAGCATGTACTCCCGTCTGCCTGCTTTCTAGTAGAAGTCATTCACAGCCAATTTAGAGCCACCTGATCTCTTCCACAGGCTTACCCGCCCCTCCTGGGTGCTGGGACAATCATGGTGGGTGTCAGGATGGAGAATAGCGGGAGATCAGTGAACATCCATTCACTGAACTCCCTTGTGAAGAATGACACTGGAATCGATCAACTCTGATCATTTTCGGGTTCAGAGCTGTCATTCCCTGGCCCCTCTGGAAGTGCTCAGTCAGTTTTAAAAGAGTGCAAAGGTGATAGACCTAATAGTCCCCTAATGTCTCCCTAAAGAGAACCTGTCACCTGCAGTATGCTATCCCATTGGTGGGCTTATCAGGCCCCTTGTGAAAGCAATAAAATTAGATTAAAAACACAAAAACAAATTCTAAAAGCCCTTCGCCCCCACAAACGTGTGCATCTGGTGTACTTGCATACAAAAACGCTGATTGCACCACACATATTAGACATTGCTGCACACGCCGTTGTGAGAGTAATAATTCTAGGGCTATCATTCACTGGCAACTCCTAACTGATATCCTGTATAGGTTTCTAAAGAACAACTCCAGGCTTTTTAAATGAACCTTTGCTGTGGGGCTACCACCGCACTGCAAGGGTTAGGTGCTCGTTTGTGTCTAGGGACAAAAATAACAAAGTTATGCTCACCTGAAGCTTCTTCTTTAAAGCATTGCCTATGCTCATTGTTGGGTATCATCGTTTTTTGACATTGCACTGGTGGGTGCAATTCTTGACATAATTAATATCGATCTACTCGACGCAACCTCATCTCTTATATCTTACAAAAAAAATGGGTTTAGGTGCAATACAATTAAATTGAGTATACTTTAGTGAACATTTGGGTTTCGTAAATAGTTGCGCTCAGTGCTTTTTTCTGGGCAAAAAGGTTCCAGTACTCACTGCTTCAACCATCTTTGTTGTGGGCAGGGACACACAGTGCATGTGCAGTATGTCCCCGCTGCCACAACCAAGATGGCTGCCTACAAAAACCTTCAGGGGAGGTGGCTCTTAGCTGCTGGCAATGAGGTCTACTGTCGGTGGCCATCTTTTTGGCCGCCGACAGAAGACAAGCATCCCTGCGCTAGGTAATGACACTTGTCTTCTTGCGCCATGTCCGTTCACTTGTCGTATGGACACTTGCAGATTTTCTGTACGGCAAGTGTACGGGCATGACGACAGACAAGTGTCATCACTCCGTGCGGGGTGATAACGCTTGTCGCGAGGGCGCCTTTAACCTCCTGCCGTCCGCCCATTAAGAAAAAACGGATGGTCGGCAGACTCGCATTGGCGGCATTTTTTTCCTGCTCGTGCGCGCTCCCTAGCGCGAGCACGGGCAGGAAAGACCCGCTCGTTTTTACAGCCGTTAATGGTTGTTTTACATACAACCGTTCAGCGGCTCTATAGCCGCCAATCGGTTGTATGACGTGATTTTTTCGAGTGCTGCCGATTTTTCGAGTGCCGCCGATTTTTCGAGGGCCATCAATCACTGATAACACTAAACTGATGAGCGGTAAAAGCTTTTAAAGCGTCGCCTATGGCCAATTTTGGGTAATGTAGTTTTTTGAGGTTTTGCGCGCATGCGCAATTTTAAGGCTTGACATGTTTGGTGTCTTTTTACCCGATGTGACCCCTTCTTTTATATTTTACCAAAATATTGGATAATAATAAATGTTTTAGAATTTAATATAGGGGAAATCGTTTTTTGAAAAAATGTCTGTAATTGTTCCTTAACTGCCAGGAGCTCTCTAGATCTGAGCGGGCGTCTTTAGACGTCCGCTCAGACACGCCCCCTTGCACGCTGCTGGGCGCGCGCGAGCGGGAAATGGCCACAATTTAAAAACGGGCAGCGATGCCCGTTAATATACATGCGATCCGCCGGAGGGATCACATAAAATTCTTTTTACACATAAAAAGAATTTTAAAAAAAAATTGTTTTAAAGTCCCCACCCATACATACACGCATGCATACATGCGTTAAAAAATAAAATTTCAATACAGCGTTGCATGACAGAATAAATGTCAGTCAAAATACCGCAGCGCTGTATACGGAAAAATGGCCTGGATGGGAAGGGGGTTTAACACCCCGGACTTCAAGTAGCTAAAAAAATATATTTTATGATTCTATATTGCATAAAAAAATGAAATGGCTGGCGGTAGGTGCCCGTACTGTGTACCGGTGTGTACCGCCAGAAAAAAAAGCCCTGGTTGCGCTAATTGTGTGGCAAAAAATTGTAACTGTCACCATGTTATTATTCTACAGGGTCTCTGCTTTTAGGAAATATATAATTTGGGGGGTTTAAAGTAATATTAAGAACTGAAATGTTAATTTTACCGTGTGCAAAAAAAAAACATGGATGTGGCAGTGAAAAGGTTAAATCAGTGTCACCCGAGTCCGTGGAGGTCACCAATGACAGCCCCGCCCCCTCACTCTCTGTACACTGCCGCTACATTGTTAATTTATTACACCTATTGACTATTCGCTTCTCCTGCGCCCTCTAGCGGCTGTACGCGTGCTGCTTGGTGGGCGGGGTCATCACGCCGCATAACCTTACAACCTCCTTCCACAAGGCCAATAATCGAAACGGAAGATTTCGTTCGGCGGACGTGCTGACGTATACGACTGCTTAGCCAATGGGAGGCTGTGCTGCGTGGATGGTGACAGGTGTCATGGCCGCCTCCTGGAGATGCCGGTCTGAAGTAATGACCGGGCTTTTGTGGAGGACGTGGGCCCCTGCCCGTTGTGGGAGCCGGCGATCGGCGCTGCTGTGGCCCCGGACACGCCTGGGTGTGAGCAGCCGTGCAGCCAGCGGCTCAGTGTGTGTGGAGATTGGAGAGAGGTAATGCATTGACGGGGAGGAAAACACGTGGGGCTCGGAGTCAGGACCTGACTGGGACTGCATACTGCTTGTCCTGTGTGTCATGACAGACAGCCAGCCAGCAGGGTTTCACAGACGTCGTCCTGGGAGGGTCACTTGTGTTCACAAGAAGAAGCATTTACAATTCCTGAACACATGGGAGAGAATGTATCGGCTTCTCTCTTCATTTTGTTCATTTCAGCTGTGAAAATGAAAGAGAGAAGCTGATTGGTTGCCAGGGGCGACGGCTCCAAATTCTGTCTGCTCATTGTGCTAAATCCACAAAGATTTAAAGTAACTGGTGTTATTTTAAACAACAAAAAAGTATATCTGCAAAGATATGTATTAAAGTCTAACTTCCAGCTGAGCTAAAAAAAACAAACAAGCTTTGTTCAGGGCTAGTCTGCAAACTTGCCCCTTTGCAGCCCTTTAACCCCCTTCATGACTGAGCTGCTTTTTAGTTTCTGATGGTTAATGACTGACACATTTTTTTTACATTTTTGCTGTGTGATTCTTCCACGTCAGTAATATGCTTTCTTACAAAGTGCACCCACACATATTATATATTGTTTTTTTTAGAGGACAGATAGGGCTATATATTTATATCACATATGTGTACCTAATGCCTCAGTTAGGACAATTAAAATATAAAACAAAATGAAAAAATGTAAAGAAAACACTTTTTACCCAGTTTTGATTTGTAGTATTTTTTAGAAAAACAGCACAGCTAAAAAAAAATACGATAAATACGTTCATTTATTTGTCCATTATTTGGAAACACCTCACATCCCTAGGATTTTAGAAAATTTTCTGTACTTCTCGTCCTAAAACTAAAACCTAACATTTTAATCTTTTTTTTTTTTCCCTCTAAAAGTGGTCACCTGGCATACAGTGTCACACTTAGTGCCAGCGACACACTTTGAACATCACTGTCATGAAGAGGTTACATTTTCAAAAAAAGATAACCCCTTAGGACGAAAAACATCTGCAGCTCAGCTACAGATTTTCATTGTAATGGGTTCATTTTTATATTGCTGATAGTATAAAAATATATTTAAATATATCAATTTTATTTGTTACATTTATTTTACACTTTTTCACAATTCTTGTTAAATATGTTTTACATTTGTATTTAATTATATCAAGCAGTCATTCATCTCACTATTACTGCTTGATAATTTGAATACATTTTTGGTTATTATTAGGCTGCTTCAAACTTAAGAACAGCCAATAATAACCTTAGTGACCCGGACCCGTCACTGAAGGCTTTCTGATCGTTCAACAACGCAACATTCTTTCAGCATAAGAAACATGTAGCTAAATGTTTCTATTGCTGAAAGTTTAGGGGGAAAAAAAGCCGGTATATATATTGGGACTTCCTGATCTATACCTGCTGTCAGTGACGGCTAGAGCTGTAAATATTGCTCTGTTTTCACTGTCAGACACCCGATTCCTCCCCACTGACGCCGCCCGTGGGTCACTGTGCCTCCCCACTGACGCCGCCCGTGGGTCACTGTGCCTCCCCACTGACGCCGCCCGTGGGTCACTGTGCCTCCCCACTGACGCCGCCCGTGGGTCACTGTGCCTCCCCACTGACGCCGCCCTTGGGTCACTGTGCCTCCCCACTGACGCCGCCCGTGGGTCTGCAGGTAATATTTTGTTTCACCCCCAACCATTGTTTACTACCGCTGACATTGCGCTATTTCCTACACCCACTGGCCATAGAGTGGTCCCTGTAAAGGAGAGTGAACTGGCCATTTGTTTATAAGGGTTCAGGACCCCTGGTCTAGGGGGTGGTCTGTCTCACTAGAACAAAGTGTTAAGGATGTTCCCTGCACTCGCCTCTCTCTCTCTCTCTAGAAGTCCGCGTCTCCTACTTTCCTTCTATGCTGTGCTGCACCCCCAGTCAAACTCTTCACTTCTGGGAGTATTTAATTTTATATATATATAATACAGGACACTCAAATATGTTAAAGCTGAAATAAACTTTTAATTAATTTTCCTGAGTCTTGCTATTAAAGTCTCTAGCTTACACTTCAATATTGCACTGATGCTGCTGATGCATACAGAGCCATACCTATTGAGCCGGTGAAAGTTTCATATTCTTGAAACACTTGATTCTGCTCCAAAATAAGCTTGTGTACTTCTAAGAGCTACAAACGTTTTGTAGCTCTTAGAAGTAAGCAACAGAATGAACATAAGGGGGCATTCTTCCTTACACTGACCACCCATATAAGGGGGCATTTTTCCTTACACTGACCACCCATATACGGGGGCATTCTTCCTTACACTGACCACCCATATAAGGGGGCATTCTTCCTTACACTGATCACCCATATAAGGGGGCATTCTTCCTTACACTGACCACCCATATAAGGGGCATTCTTCCTTACACTGACCACCCATATAAGGGGCATTCTTCCTTACACTGACCACCCATATAAGGGGGCATTGGTGCATTCTTCCTTACACTGACCACCCATATAAGGGGGCATTCGTCCTTACACTGACAACCCATATAAGGGGGCATTCGTCCTTACACTGACCACCAATACAAGGGGGCCTTCATCCTTTTACTGACCACTGATACAAGGGGGCCTTCATCCTTTTACTGACCACCGATACAAGAGGGCCTTAATCCTTGCGCTGACCATCAACATAAGGGGGCCTTAATCCTTGCGCTGACCACCAACATAAGGGGGTCTTCATCCTTGTGCTGACCACCAACATAAGGGGGCCTTCATCCTTGCGCTGACCACCAACATAAGGGGGCCTTCATCCTTGCGCTGACCACCAACATAAGGGGGCCTTCATCCTTGCGCTGACCACCAACATAAGGGGGCCTTCATCCTTGCGCTGACCATCAACATAAGAGGGCCTTCATCCTTGCGCTGACCACCAACATAAAGGGGCCTTCATCCTTGTGCTGACCACCAACATAAGGAGGCCTTCATCCTTGAGCTGACCACCAACATAAGGGGGCCTTCTAAAGATGGTGGAGGGAATTTATCAAAACTGGAGCAGATGGAATCATATAATCAGATGTATATATAATCATAATTAGATGTACTCATTTACTTTGTGTAGATTTCCTCTCACTCCCGGTTGTGTCCGTAGGACACAGAAGTTAAGGGGGCCTTCATCCTTTTACTGACCACCAATACTAGAGGCCCTTCATCCTTTTACTGACCACCAACACAAGGGGGCCTTCATCCGTGCGCTGCCCACCAACATAGTGGGCCTTCATCCTTGCGCTGACCACCAACATAAAGGGGCCTTCATCCTTTTACTGACCACCAACACAAGGGGGCCTTCATCCGTGCGCTACCCACCAACATAGTGGGCCTTCATCCTTGCGCTGACCACCAACATAAAGGGGCCTTCATCCTTGCGCTGACCACCAACATAAGGGGGCCTTTATCCTTGCGGCTACCACCAACATAAGGAGGCCTTCATCCTTGTGCTGACCACCAACATAAAGGGGCCTTCATCCTTGTGCTGACCACCAACATAAGGAGGCCTTCATCCTTGTGCTGACCACCAACATAAGGGAGCCTTCATACTTGCGCTGACCACTAATCTCGAGGTGGGGGGCTTCATCCATACAATGACCATCAACAAAAAAAAAGTACTTTTTTTTTTTAACAGTCCGCAGAAGAAAAGAAAAAAGCGTGAGCTTCTCCTACCAATTCATATCAGACCCTTTCGGTCTGGCAGGAATGTTTGGAGGGACCCCAAGTTTAAAAAAAAAAAAGCGTGTGGGTTCCCCCCAAAAGCCATACCGAGTCCTTTAGCTCTGGTAGGAATTTTAAAGGGGAGCACCACACCAAAAAATGGGGGGGGGGGGGGACATGGGTTCCCCCCAAAATTCATACCAGACCCTCGATCCGAGCACAGGCAGTACAAGTACCCCTTACTCATTCACAAGGGGGGGTGAGGGAGGCATCTCTGTGCCCCCTTAATTAAGCCAGGATCCTGCAGTCAAGGATTTGTGGCCCAATGACCTTTCCCAGAAGTGGTGATCCTTTGGTAGGCCATTTATACAGTTCTTTTTATTGGCCTCCACATAGCAACTATACACAATGGAGCCATATATAATGATAATTCCTGATTCTGATATATCTACCTGTATGCTTTTGGATTATCAGAGGAAACACACATGAGCAAAGAAAGTTCTTAAAAATGACATTCAGCTCTTTGTGATCAAAATCAAACCAAGTTGCAGCCAAAGACCTTTGTGCCATCATTGTACAACTGTATGCTTACATGTACATCTTTTCTTTTCTTTACAGAAAGATGGAAATTGCTTCTGGCAAACTTGCTCGCTTTGCAGATGGATGCGCTGTAGTGAAGGTAACTTTTGAATGCTTCTAAAGATGGTGGAGGGAATTCATCAAAACTGGAGCAGATGGAATCATAATCGGATGTATATATAATCATAATTAGATGTACTCATTTACTTTGTGTAGATTTCCTCTCACTCCCGGTTGTGTCTGTATTACAGAGAAGTTAAGGGATATTATGTCCCTCCTATGGGACACAGATGGTAAAAAAAAAAACAGGGGTTCTAATCATTCTCTAGTCTATCCCAAAAAAAATGATATATATAATTATATTTGGGCTTTATATATGTTGAATCATTCTGTATGCATGTATGTCTAAATAAAAAAATAAAAACGCTATTATGTTTTCATTTTTTTTTTTAAGCTAGGTGACTCTCTGCAGTGTCAGTTTTTTTTCACCTGTAGTGGGCAGTGCAGGAAGCATTTAAACTGGCGTGTTCTAGTAAATCAGGGATGCTTTGATTAGGGTCAAGTGGTCAGGACCATTTAGAATATGTTTATTTATAAATCCCAACTTCAGGCACCTTCGTTTTTTTTTTTTTAGACCTTTGGCATACTGCAAAATGTTTACCTCTGCTGCTGTTTCTTTTGAACTGTACTGTCTACTGTAAGCCATGTTCAGCTGCTTTAGAAAAGTACAGAAGGAGCCACACTCCGGCTCTTCACTGCATCGGAGCAGTGTCTATGGTTGCCTTCTTCCCCACCGTGTGCTTTGCCATTCACGAAGATAAGCTACACATGTGGTGGCATGCAGTGGTAATCATTCTGAAGGGTGTAAGTGCTTAAAAAAAAAAAAATTTGCAAGGTGGTGGGATTTAAATCTAAGCTGGAGAAGTGAATTGCTGCATATAGCTGAATATCTTTTGCTGATCTTGTACCTGGCAGACTGTACTGAGTGCTATCCTGAATGGACCCTGGAATCACATTTACTTGAACCTGCCATGAAAGCTGTATCGACTGTGAAGTTTAGGTTTGCTGTAAAGTAGTTACAAGCCCCATTTCTTGACAATCTTTTTCCACACAGGTAGACTACAGGCAAAAAGCTGCAGCTGCAGGAAGGATCCCGACAAATCATCTACGAAGAGAACTCGGCTCAACACCTCATGAAATTCTTACCAGCAGAATAATTGGTACCTTGTTTGCTTTGTTTTGATTTTTTTTCTGTGTAGCACATCCTTGCCCCGTAAAAACACAGCTGACATCGGTCCTTCCCCCCGTAAAAACACAGCTGACATCGGTCCTTGCCCCGTAAAAACACAGCTGACATCGGTCCTTGCCCCGTAAAAACACAGCTGACATCGGTAAGAACACGGGCACCCGTCCCTGCCCCATTAGAACACGGGCACCCGTCCATGCCCCATTGGATCTAAGAGTCTATTATCTGTTACACACTAATACAATCTCCCACACTTATGCTAGAGCCATGTTTACTGTAATTATTTTTCAGATGGTTTTGAGGGTATGTCCACCCTATATGTGGTGACCTGTGTTTTTTTTCTTGTGCAGACACCAAGCAATTTTTTTCTATGTGCCCTTTTGACACTAAAACACTGTTGTGCGCTGCAGAAAAATGCAGACATGCACACTTGATGGCATTGGAGGTCACCACTAATGCCTTCTGTTTGGAGGCCTGAATGGAGTGTACACTTTGTACATGCTCAATAAAGTTAAACCCCCCCCCCCCCAACCTTTCCTTTTGCATCTCACATGGACACTAGCCTGCTCACTAATGCACAGCATTTTAGGGTGTGGGCTAGTGTGAAAGACCCCTAAGAAATCAAACTGGGTATGTCCTTGCAAAATATGCTCTGATTGGGTCTTTTTGACATCAGTATTAAGGGACATTTACAGGTGTATCTGAGGTATATCACATTAGGTACACTATAGGACACATTGACCTCTTTAATGCACATTAGTCGTGTGTTTAAAGTTTAAAGCAGAACTCCAGCCAAAAATAAGATAAAAATTAATATCATATTCAAAGATAAAATAAGAAAATAGCTTATCTGTAGCATCCACCTCCAATTTAACACTAGATTCCCTTAGTCTGGTAGCCAGCATGATCAGCCCACTACTTCTGATCCCTTGTCATAGTGGACCCACCACAGCCTGTGGCTGGACAGTGAAAGGAGAAGCAGCACAGTGATGAGCTCATCTCTCTCAATCTGTATTCTCCTCCTATCAGCATGCTCCTTGTGAAAACATGAACTGATTGGATTATTGTACATCTTCTTCCTCTCACGCTTAAGCCCTACTGTACAGGGACTACAAGAGGCAACTACCAGGTCAAATTCAGGTACTTGTATTTAAAGAATACATTTAATGGTGTATTAATGGTTTTGGAGCTGAATTATTTGCGCCTATCTGCTTCGAGTTCGGGGATTTTTACGCATTTGCCTTGGTTTCGGTGGGCTGCTTGATGCATTTAAAGGAGAACTATGAGGTGAGTAATTTTCAACCTCATAGTTCGAGCCAACGTGTGACAATGAAACTGTCACACGTCGCCTCAATAGATCGGGAAGTGAGTGATCACAAACCGTCGCTCACTCCTCGATCATCTCCCTGCAGAGAGCCGTGACTGTCACTCATGGCTCCCTGCAGGGATTCTCCCTTCCCCGCTCTGATCCTGCAGCCCTGACTGGCGGAACGGACGGGGGAGGGGGCGGGTACAGCTGACTCTCCCTTTTACATAGGCAGAGCCAACTGTCACTCACGCAGCTGGGTGGATCGACAGTAATGTCGGGATCCGTCCCGGCTGTGGCGGTCTCTGTATACTGCGAGCTATAGCTCGCGATATACTGAGCTTTGGGTCACGGGAGGACACTAGTATATGTCCTCCCGTGATCCTTAGGAAAACTATGGGGAAAAACACTTACCCCATAGTTCTCCATTAAACAGCCAAAAATGCCCTAATTTTTATGTACCAGGCTTCAGCACATAGATGTGAGTATGCCACTTAGTAATGACAGAGATTTAATGAATGTAAATGAGCTAGTGTACATTTTGGATGTATCTAGAAATTCATTCACAAATATACAGCTGGTATTATAATTCACAAGAAAAGGAAAAGAAAAAAAAAAGAGTTCAGACTTTGCTGGCTGTATGCTTGTTCCAAGTAAATGACAGTATGTAGTGAATTTAGAACTGGCAATGATGATTGCAATTTTGCTTTATGACTTTCGCATGAATTAATACCATTGCATTAAGGAAAAAAAATATATAAAATAAATAAAATGTTCTACTTGCTACATTTTGTATGTTGTAAGATGCACCAAACCTAATGCACAAAAATACAAGTCCTTTTTAAAAAAAATTAAAAAAACACGCTCAGCTGTAACGCATTTATGTGTAGTAGTAACCTCATAGTAATGAATAAGACTTCTACTTAAGTATGCATGTTCATTTAGGAAAATAATGCCTTAATGAGCCCTAGCAGCATTTATATCCATGCAATATGATTTCCTCTTGTCTTTCATTGTGAAGAAATGTCCCGTCCTGTCTTTTTTGTGGGCTGTGGATGTTGTGCAGCAGCTTTGGTAATCGGAGCAATGTTTTATTTTCAGATCGGTCAATCCGTCCCATGTTTCCAAATGGCTACTTTTATGATACGCAGGTTAGTTTTATGCTTTTTTAAAATAAACACTTTAATATACATATTTTAATAGCTGTATAAAGTTATTTAGATGCTGTGAATAAATGTCATCATGCAGTTTCTATATTTATTTTCCTCTACAGATCATCTGTAATTTATTGGCGGTGGATGGTATTAATGAACCTGATATATTGGCCATAAACGGAGGTAATCCTGGTTTCTCTATTGTGATATTTGTGTTCCTTTTTACCTAAATGACAATATCGTTAAAAGATTTTCAGGAACTGTTCTTGCCATTGTTGATCTGAACTCCAGTCCTTGGAGTTTTGGCGGTGTGCCTCTGCCATGTGGCTGCTTTAGGGCTCGTGCATATGGCCTTATAAAAATGGACCACAAAACAAAGATCCCACCAGCGTAAACATTTGCAGTAACCCCGAAACACCTCTCAATATAGCTGTATACAAACTGCAACTCCCGATTAGCTGGTATACTACAGAATATATTGCAAAAAATATCTTAGTTGCCAACACTACAACATATCATTTCTGTTACTGTAGGTATGTAGATGTATTGGGTTGTTGAAGCAAGAAATGCAGCAGCATGGGCATCCTTGTATTTATATTCTCTCAGATCTCCTGCTCCCATCTTTTGGATCACTGCATTTCGTTAAAAAAGCTGTTCACAGCTAAGATATTTTTTTACAATACATGCTGTACTTTTCTTTAGCAGATACATGTATATCTGAATACAAGGAGCTGTTTTGGGGTGGCCCCATATCTCTGGCCTGTTGTCTTTCTTTTGGGGCCCACAGGCCACAGTGGTCTGGCGGGAATCGAATACACCTAGAATATACACATGACTAGGTGATAGTATGTGGGTGGCGTCGATTATCAGTGTTTTAACATTACAATACAGCTTTTCTAGTTTGGGTATGCAGCCTCTTCATGCTAAATTTGGTGAAAAATGTATAGCATTTCCTTAGTTGTCTTCCAAGACAGCACATGAAAGAGAGAGACACCTCCTTCAGCAGGAACAGGAATCGCAATCCCAAAAACACTTTATAAGAAAGTCCTCTGCCGGACTGATCAGAATTTGTGTCTTCTCCTCCAGATGGAAATGCCTGTTTTAGCAACTCAGGGAAGCAGGCTCATGGAGGTTCTGTCCCCTTCCATCTTCTTTCCTGCTTACCGCCTTTGTTGCTGGTCTCTGTGGCAGATGAGCAGTGCCGTCTATCCCCCTTTAAGCCCACCCTCCTCCCGGGGCTCCCTTCTCCACTACATGTTCAATGAGATCCATGACTTCCTCAGAATCTGCCTCCTTGTAGGCAACATGAACTTCATTGACAGTTTTCCAGTGCTCCCCCTTGACCAAGGACACCAGGCTTTACTTCTGGCAGGGGCAGAGCATGGGTACTGGCTTAGGGGCTTTGAGTTTCGGCCTTTGGGATGCAGGGGGAAGGGGTTGGGCTCTTTGCCAACCACTTCCAGTTTCTGGCATGGAGAGTACAGGTGCCAGAATCATTAGCACTTTAAATGATAGGTTACTCTTCTGTGCCCTCTGCATCATGAATAAAGGCAAACTAGTAGCGTTGGGGATCGTAGGCAGCGCTTGCACCATCTCTTTGCGGGTAAGTGGAGGCATCATTAATCACGGCCTCTTACCTGTTGTGCTGTATTAAAGGATAACTATGGGGAGAATGAAACACACCCATAGTTAGAACCGACGTGGGACACTGCAGCTGTCATACATCGGCTCTTTTGATCGAGAACTGAGTGAGCCCAAACTGCTGATCGCTCAGTTCATGATCTTCCCCCTACAGAGAGTAGTGACTGTCAGTCACTGTTCCCTGCAGGGACTCCCCACTCCTGTCTCTGTTCCTTCAGTGCTGACTGGAGGGACAGACCGGGGAGGGGGCGGACACAGCTTTCAATCAGGCAGCGGCCACAGCTATATGCTGAGTTTTGGGTCACAGGAGAACATTAGTAAATGTCCTGTGACGCTAAAGAAAACTATGGCCAAAAAAGGTTTGGCCATAGTTCTCTTTTTAAAGCTCTTTTCTCTCACATTAATTCCTGCTGGATTTATAGACCTTTACTGCAGCCCCTTGTAGTCCATTCTGTACACAGTTGGCTTTTAATTGTTGTCACCATGGTGTTTTTCCATTGCAGTCTTATGGCGCATGGTGTTTCCGCTTTTGTTTCCAGACCCATGCTCCAAATAAGTCTAAACATCCTCCATGTCGGAAATGTTTACAGAAGTTAGTGTGTGGAGAATATGCTTCTGCTTGCAAGACATTGCTATCTAGAGTGGAGGTTTATCCAACTTTTTAAAAAATGACATCCTTCCTCTTTGACCTTAAACCCCAAAGCCAACCAAGTCTTGTGCTGCCTGCTTTCATGACCTCAACTGTAGTAAGGAATCAGTGAGCATAGTGATGCCAGTGTCCTGGCGGAAGGGGCAACATAGGACATGGATACTAAATCTTTTAAGGTTTAACCACCTCCCTACTGTCATTTTGCAAATAACCAGTGTAGAGGTGAACATCTATTTCTCCAGCGGCCAGTGCGCCCATTAATGACTGTGAACTGAGCCATCGTTGTATGGCTGAAATGACACACACACTGTGCAGAGCCAATCCAAGTGGCCCTGTGCTAGGGATCGAACGATTTATTGGATCTACCTATAACCTCGGCCAGTATTCCTTAATTTTTTTTATTATCGGTATCGGCTAAATGTACTGATTTTATTACTGACCATAAACACTGTGCGAATTTCACACAATGAAACTCACTCAGTGGGTGCCGCTGTCTGGCTGACATCTCTAGATCAGCTGATCAAAGGAGCCGGTCAGAAAATCTATATAGGAACAGAGCTGGCAGCCATTGAGCTGTCAGCCCTGTTTGAGTATTCTCACAGTGACCACTGTCCGAATACAAAAAAAACAGCAGATAGCAGGGGAAGCAATAGCCAGCCTGCTATACCAGTGCTTCTTAAACTGTGGGTCGCGACCACATATGGGGTCCCGCAAGAGAACAGGGGGGGTCGCGATCTGAGTCCCCGGCCAGGACCGCCATCACCGCTAGGGGGAGAGAGACACTGACCGACGCTAGGGGTAAAGAGGGGAGAGACACCGTCCGACGCTGGGGTCCCTTAAAAATTTTCTCGGCCTAAAAGGGGTCACGAGTGGAGAAAGTTTAAGAAGGCCTGTGCTATACCATAAACAGAATATCGGTCGTTATTGGTTCTGAAAAATCCATATCAGCCGACCCCGACTCTGTGATCACTGTGATGACCAATTTAAACAGTGATGTTGATCACAAATGTGAACAGTACTACTGTTTACCTTGCAGAGCCCTTCCCTTCCTCTCAATGTTTCTTTATTTCCAAAATATGGCAAAAAAATAAGATCACCTTGGGGTATCTGCCTTCTGAAAAGGGAATATTGGGGAATATTCTGTTCATTTTATTAATGGAAACGGGGTTTTTTTTTTTTTTTTTAAAGACAGTGGTTATTAAATATCAGCAAAATACTAATATTTAGATCATCTTTATCTAAAAAAAAAAAGATATAAATTGAATTTGGGTACCGTGTTCCATAACAGAGTAATTGTCAAACTATCACAGCACTGAAAACTGACCTGGTAATGAAAGGAGAAAGTTTAAACACTTGATTATCAGACAGGCTGGTACTCAAGTGGTTAAACTTTCCATAGAAGATGTGGATGACCTTTTTAATGGCACTTGAGATTCAGTGTCATGATTTTCCAGTCAACAATATGCGCTCTCGGAATCCATGAAACCATGAATTGTTGTAATTAGTTGCTGCTTGGCTGTGTTTGCCTCACAGGCGTTTGGCCTTCCTGACTGCACTGGTCACATCCTCCAGGCTGTTAGTACCACCCGGAGCTTGCAGCAATTTCACCTCTACTTTGCCTCAGACTCCTTTTATTCCCATTAGATCAGGGATTGTTAAGGTTGATTTTATAAAGCTTCTTGGCCCACAGTGAGGGCCATATTAGCTGGAATGCTATGGCCTTCTCTCACTAGGGAATGGGCACTGTAAGGCCACTTTTATATACACCACAGAGGCAGTGTGAGGTTACATGCAGAGATATTGCCTTATACCTGCACTAGAATGGAAATCTGTCTCTTACGGTATATCTGCAGCTTTAGCATAGGTCTGTTTTTGTTTTTGTTTTTCTTTCAGGCCTAGGGATTTGAGTTTTACTTTTGCATCTAATTGCTTATGTAAGGTAACCAGTTTTGTTCATGTTATCATGCATCGCGTGTCACATTATGTCTGCATGTGACTCATTTGCTTACACTCTTGCCAGAACCTCAGGTATGTTTTAGGTCTGATTTGGAAGATGTACTTTTTTGTTTTGTTTCTACCAGTGTTCTATTATGCATCCCCCTGCTGTATTCAGCCTCCGCCTACTCCACCTGTAGCCTCCCAGGGTTGCAGCATAGGTCTCGTGTACATATACTTCAAGTATTATGTTTCAAGTTCAAATCACAAGGCTTATGTTGCATTCATATATAGTGATGTAGGTTGTGAGTGGTCGCTGTGCATGTGCTTCTGCAGCAGACCCCACTGTCCTATGTTCTAATATAGTGTATGGGATATATTTCTCACAAGTCAGCACATTCATGTTCTGGTGAGGTACAATTTCAGCCCGCACTTTAAACTTCATAAAGGGATTTCTACATTCTTATCTGTCATATGCAGAAGATGCTCATGGCTGTATGCAATAAGAGTTAAACAAATGTCTTAATAAATTCCTGAAAGAACAACTCGGGGGCAAAACTTTTATTAACCCTCGCACTGCAAGGGTTAACGGCTTGTTTTCATGTAGGTGCTAAAATAAAAAAAAGTTATGCTCACCTCATATTGTAAATACAATTATCAGTAAGTCTAACTCCATTTTTATTCTTTCTCAGGACTTACCATCCCTATATAGAGGGGGTTGTGTATGTAAATATAAACAAAATAAGTTTCACAATATTGTACCCAGAGGGCTCCAGTCATTACTAATGGTTGGGACAACCTTGAGTCAATGTCAGTGTTTAAAGTGGCACTAAACTCAGGAGTTAAATCTTAAAAACGCATTCATGCACCTTAACTATTAACTAAAATCTATCTTATTTGTGTATCACTGGGATGTAGATCCTCAAATCATCTCTGTATTTGTGCTGACACTGTCCTTCCTTCTGGAGGGTGGCTACTTTTGTTCCCCATGGTTCCTGTGTGTGTTGAAAAGTAGCCACCGCTCCAAGCTCGCTCACATGATGGACTACAATCTCATATTTAGTTTAGTCAATTGTATTGGGATTGTAGTCTATCACAGGAGGGGGCTTGGAGAGGTGGCTACTTTACAACACACAGCGGGACCATGGGGAACAAAAGTAGCCACCCTTCAGAAGGAAGGACAGTGTCGGCACCAATTCAGAGATGATTTGAGGATCTACAGCTGAGTGATACACAAATAAGATATATTTTTGTTAATAGTTAAGATACTTAAATGCGTTTTTAAGATTGAACTCCTGAGTTTAGTGTAACTTTAAGACTGGAACAAATTCTTGTTTACAGATTAATCTAAACTGGAAGTTTTAAGTTTACAGTGGGAGAGATTTAGCAGCAGCAAAGTCAGTCAGGGTAGTGGAAATATTCATCTATTCTTGAGTTGGTGAATTGCACACGACTTATTACCAGGTTGACTAAAGAAAGATGCTATTCAGCACAGGTGCCCTGGCCTAAAGTTGTGTTTGGTTATACCTGCGTGTACATATACATATGTGCAGTATTCAAAAGACCAGCTTAGTTTCAGGATCTTACAGACTTTGCAGTACATATGTATGGCCACATAACAGCTTGGTTTCTGAAAATATCTGCTGAATATTCTTGATGTTGTTTCTTATTTATGAACTATATTTTGTGAGCCTTAATAATGTTTTCCCCTTTCAGCTTCTACTGCACTTGCACTGTCAGACATACCATGGAATGGACCTGTTGGTAAGTGATAGGGTATACCAGTTATTACACACTGTTTAGAACTACAACATTCAGTGCATTTTTGTTTAGGAGGTGACATTCTTTCTTGTTCCTCCAAGTATTATAAAGTTGTTTCATTCTTTTTCTTACTGGAGGTGAGATGTTAAACTGTTAAAGGGTATCTATGGTCAAAAAGTAAAAATAAATCTATAATTCTATACCTCAATACTAATAACCATATCGATCTAGAAGTTTAACTTATTGAAATTGCCAATAGGATGTACAGTACTTCCTCAATGCAGTGACAGTTTCACTCACCCCTGTGAATATGCACTGTAACTAAGCCTGTCGTCTGAGCTAAAACTCAACACTCGAACTTTCCACAATGTAACCTCGTAATTGCTTGCTAAAAGCAATGTATGGTGGGATATGTAGTTTTGAAGAAGCAGGGAAAGAGGCACAAAGCAGACTGGGAATCCAGAAAGTTGTTTAAAAGGAATAGGTAGATGGAAGGCAGCACTCGCTTCATGAAAGGGTTTTTTTTTTAGCTATGTTTTGATTGCATTATAAAAAAACAACTCTAGTATGTATTCCTACTACAATGCTGATGTTATAAGACGATAGTACATGCTGGGACTTTACAACTCCTTTAACCCTAAACAAAGGCCGTTCTTTTTGTCCGGCATATGATTTATTTGCACAGCTAAGAACACACAGAATCAGTGTGTATGAAACTATACATTAGGTTAGTATGTTGGAACAATATTTGGAACATGCTCAGTAAGGTACAATGTTATAAAAAAGAATGTTCCAGGGCATGCGTCTGCTGTGATAAAGGAGAGTTAAAGTATCCTAAAGGAGAACTATTCGGTAAGTGTTTTTCCCCATAGTTCTCCTAAGGGTCACAGGGGGACACAAACTAGCGTCCTCCCGTGACCCAAAGCTCAGTATACCGCGAGATACAGCTCGCGGTATACCGAGACCGCCACAGCCAGGACAGATCCTGACATTACTGTCGAGAGCCACCCAGCTGCGTGATTGACAGCTGGCTCTGCCTATCTAGAGGCAGAGCCAGCTGTACCCGCCTCCTCCCCCGTCCATTCTGCCAGTCAGCGCTGGAGGAGCGGGGAGGGGGAGAATCCCTGCAGGGAGCCGTGAGTGACAGTCACGGCTCTCTGCAGGGACATGATCGAGAAGTGAGCGTTATGTGTTCGCTCACTTCCCGATCTATTGAGCCGACGTGTGACAACTATGAGGTTGGGTGAAAATCACTCACCTCATAGTTCTCCTTTTTTAAAGACAATTTTTTTTTGGGACAGAGTAAAGAAGTGTTTTAACCCATGGCAGGGACAGGAAATATTATAAGAGGGGATTTCTTTTAGTACCTTTTTGTCTCCAGGACAGAAAGTGAATGGAAATAGCCCCCAGGGGAACACAGACCACATAAAAAAAAACCGATGGGTTTTAAGTATAGTTTGGGCTATAGATGCACTTTACAAATGGGAGGTTGCGGTTGCTTCTACTTTAGTGTAAAGGTCTCCCTTTCTAGTGCTTTTTAGATAAATGAAGTCTGGTTTTTACACAGAAACAGTTACATGGCTTATTTACTCTGCTTGTCGGATATCTATCTATCTAACCATCTATCTATCCTTCCTTAACACACACACACACACACACACACACACTCCAAAATGGTCACTCCCCAAAGCCACCTTAGTAAATATTTTATGTACTGTATATATTGATTATATATAAAATCTAAATTCAACATAGAAATAATTTGCTCATACTTGAGGGCTCATTCACACAAGATGTGTTGCGATACGTTTTGCAATAGATGCTTAGGGAAGGGCACTGAAAAATGAATGGGTGTGCATGGGGCTAGTTCACTCCACTCCGTTCCGTCGCGCTGGACTGAAAAAAAGAACATTCACTACTTTGTTTCAGCGTAGCGCAGTGTATCTGGTATGAACTATCCCCATTCACACCCATTCATTTTTCGGTGCCCTTCTGTTTGCATCTGCTGAAAAACTAATCGCAACGCAACCGATCAGAAGGAAATTGTAAGGTACAATTGCAAGTCAAGGGACCCTCCGTTGACTTGTGATTTCCTTCCGATTTTGGTGTGAACAGGCCCTTAGTCTTCCCATTGATATTCAAATAATCTAATCGCTCACTGGCTGAAACTGTAGCTCTAGCTATAATTGGACTGTGTGCTGGTATAGAAAGTAGATTGTTCTAGTATGTTTTTCCTCTTTCAGGTGCCGTTAGAATTGGTCTGGTTGAAGGAAGTTTTATTGTAAATCCTACCAGAAAACAGATGGCATCTAGTTTATTAAACTTGGTTGTCACTGGGGGCCTGCAAAGTCAAGTAGGTAAGCACAGAATATTGAGTTTTTCCTCCCCATTGTCCCTCTTTGCTTACTAAGGCTTTCATTTTGAACCAGTCTGATTTCATTCTGTTGTTGAGATGCCCAGCTCAGTAGTGGCCTCTATTATTAAATGGAGAGCGGGATGTATTTTTTCCTCGAACAAACCAAATTTTAACAGCGACTGTGGTCTTCCTTAGGAGAAACTCCATTTATTCCAACATCAAATGTTAGAATCAAAGGACAAACGTCAATCTTTGATGGCATTTTGGAATGTTCTGACAATATTTTTTGTGTGAACTTCAAGGGAAAATGTAGAGGATATATTGGTTTTATGCCTGCGCCAGCAGGTTATGGCTCTCTCCTCTTCTCCCTGATGCCCCAGGCTGTGAATGGTGCCTCAGCGTCGTCATGTACAATGCAAGGCTATTGGCTATGCATTGTATGTGGAGGAGGCAGGGCTGCGACGATGGCTGAGAGTGCCTTAAAGAAGAGCTTTTGTGGGACTGGTTGCCCTGATGGAGGGAGCCTGCTGGGACTAGGAATAGAATAAGTTTTACTCTTTAGTCCTCATATTACATAGATTTGAGAGCTCTAAAGCTGATTGTACAGAGATTGTATGGTCAGATTGTAACATGTATGGCAAGCCTTACAGCCTCTTTACAAATTAATACTCCCTCTGCTGACTACTGAGGGCTGCCCAAGTAGTACCAAAGAGCCATGGGGTGGGCACCAGAGTGTTAGAGCGTGTCCTTGCCATTTACTGACTGCCTCTTTCTTCTATTGCAGTAATGCTTGAAGCTGCAGCGGAAAATGTGTTGCAACAGGATTTTTGTCATGCTGTGAAAATGGGAATCAAACAAACGAATCAAATAATTCAGAGTATACAACAGTTAGTCAAGGAACATGGAAAGCCAAAGCGCACTGTACAGAAGATGTTCACACCTTCCGAAGAGATTGTCGAAATTGCAAGAAGGTGAGCTGAAACCAGCACTGATAAAATAACGTAGGCTGCCTTTGTTGGATCCACCTTTAGAATTTTTGAGTTGCCTGGCTGTTATGTTGATGCAAAGCCGTCCGTTTGGGTGATAAGTGTTGACCATTCATGCAAAAAAAAGCCGTCCGTTTGGGTGATAAGTGTTGACTGGCAAGTGTTGGCCAGTGAAGTCAGTCTTCACTGGCTTAATGCTTGTTTCAGGTCAATGACTTAAGACCAGAGGCAGCCGGAAATATAACCTAGGCAGAAGGTCATCGGCAATTATCGTCATTCTACAGGATGTATATAGTGGCAACAGTTTGCATAACACTTTACAAAATGGAGGGAGACAGTATAGTTACAATACAATTTCAATACAGGAAAGTTAGGAGGGCCCTGCTCGTGAGTGCTTACAATCTAGTAGGAGGGGCAAGCGACACAAAAAGTAATAATTATGTAGATTGAGTTAGTGGAAGAAGTAAAGGGACTGCAATTGGCGCATCTGAGTAGAATTGTTAATAAATTGAAAAATCACCAGGATGGGCTTTAACAATCAGTCTCTGTATAGCAGTAGGTTTATTTATTGAAGAGGAGTCTTAGGATTTATCTTCTTTTTTTTCCCCCATGGCCTTCAATGTTAAAATGGACTGTAACCTTTCCAAGTGGCTGGAGCTGGCCCTCAAAGTTTTTATATCAAAGGCGTTGCATGGACGTGCCAATTATGTGATAGCTAGCATCATACCACCAGCATAGGCAACATTGCTCTGCAGTGCAGTCCCCCTCCCCCCGACATATTGCAGATACAGAGCTGCATAAATTACAGTTTTTGTGGCTGTGTTTTCCTTTGATATGACCATGATCCTCAGGTTAAAAAGTTGAAATACCCCTGGAAGAAGAATTTAAAGCAACTGCAAAATATAAAATCTATCCTTGCAGCATGCCATCTCCTGCATATAACGCCGAGCTTCAGGGCACTGAGGAGAGCGAGAGATGCCACTCAAGCAGTACATTGCTCTGGTCCCATCATCCACCCCTTCTCATTATTCTCCATTCACAAAATGTCTTGATTTTTTTTTTTTTTTAAAGAATACAAGACATTCTGTGATTAGAGGAGGGGTGGGGATGTGACATCTTAATCACACAATGTCAAAATACAAGATATTTTGTGAATGGAGAATAGTGAGGAGAGGCGGGTGATAGGAGTGATGTACATCTCGGAACGCATCTCTCCCTCTCTTCAGTGCCTGGAAATTTGGCATCATGTGCATGGGGACAGCGTGCTGCAAGGTAAGATTTTTATACTTTGCAACAGCCCTCGACACATAACACCTGGCTTTAATGATAAATTACACACCCAGTGCAGTGTGTAAATGATCATTTTGAGTGTGGCTTTAACTGCATATTTATTTGCCTTGCCCTCAATTCAGTGGCCAAATTTGACAGTCTAGCAAGGAGGAGGATGTGTAGTGTTACTCTAGGGGGCTGATAACAAGCTTTTCCAATGACTAAATGCTCATCATTGTACAGGAAGATAATAAGTTGTGGGAAATGGTTATTATTATACAGGATTTATATAGCGCCAACAGTTTGTGCAGCGCTTTTACAATATAAAAAAGATATTAGTTACAATACAAGTACCATACAAGACAAGGTGGTAAGGAGGGCCCTACATGTGAGGGCCTACAATCTAAATGAATGTATAATGGGGTTGATCCTTCCCCTCACATCAATGAAAAGGGGGAAAGAAGGTGTTGACCACAGGGGGACTGTTTTTGTCTATTGGGTTAATTGCACAGGAAACACTGACTTGTCCTAATACTTCAGAGGATGGACACAATTCTAGCACTTCGTCATTCTTCAGGAGACCGCTGCCTATCTGTGGCCAACCTTACACCAATGTTGAAGGCTTTTATCCCAAACATTTAATGAAACCTCCAGTAGATGGTGCAATTGGTTGGTTGGTTTTCTCTCCTATATTCCATCATTCCCTTTCATTGAGAGCCCACCTCCTTCCCTCTTCCTTGGAACATATGCATCTAGTCTGTAATCTAGCTTTGTTTAGGGGAACCTGTAGTGACAACATGCATAGTTGTCATTGATGAATTCTCCTTTGAAAAATTTGAATCGCCGTTTCTTTTGCTACAACGTCTTTAATTCATGGACACAGAACAAATCCGCAGATTGTGAGCTGGGACTTTCCTGGGACTTGCTGGATGCCAGTTCTCTGTCGCACTTTCAAAAAGAGGCCATCAATGGCAGGTTGCATATTTTCTCTTTGTGAAAAACTTTCTTTACCCAGTGATACTTAAAGGATTTACATAGGTTCATGGGGTTCATCTGCTTTTTAAAGTATATGTTAACCTTAATTATGAATTCCTTTTATTTGCTCTCTTTTGGTCAATAAAATATCCAATTAATAGTGTTATATCTGTTTGAAAATCTGTTGATCCTGCCAGGAATCTATTGAGCTCATAACTTGCTGTACTCTCAGCTTGTGCTGCACACCTATCAGTTACTTTGTTCCCAGATCTCTCTGTGGACTACAGGACACCCCTTCCCATGTTAATGGAGGAGAGGGGAGGTATTTTGTAGTCCTGTCCTAGAGTAACAATGCTGCTCTTTCATAGATACATTAGTGTGTGTGTGCGCGCCACTCCCGGACAGAAAGTGTGTTACTGACAGGATCACCAGGTCAAAAAATTGAAAGAAATCCTGAGAGAATTTAAAGTAATACCCTTTCACATCTAAGGGACTGGGAAGCTGCAATATATATTAAAGTGTAACTCCACTTTTGTTGAGAACAAAAACCCAATCCCCTCTGGGTGAACAATATACAGTGCTATGATTTTATGGCAGATTCCTACCATCTCTTGTTCTGTTTTACCTATTCCTTTCCAGGCTGATTCCTGAATGGGAGGGCCTGTTTCATTATAACCCCCTGGTACACTATGTGATCTGATGAGCGATGTTGTAGTGTCGGCATCCCTTTAGAAGTAGTTATCTCTTAGGGAGTATCTCGCCAAAAAGAAACATTTCTATGGCACAGACTTCTGGGAAAATCTGTGAGCCAAACATACATACAGGAAATGGGGTATTTCCATGCACTGTGTGCAGAACACCTCCATGTTGCTGCATTGCATTTTATTTATAATGGCTTTAAAAAAACTTACAACAGCTTCAGGTTGCAATGGAAAGGTAACATTTAATAACATGGAATTACAAAATGACTTGTGTGGCAGTTTTGTATGCTATATACACTGTTCAGCCATAACATGACCGCCCGTCTAATATTGAGCAGGTCCCTCTTTTGCCCTGAACCATCTAGGCATGGACTCCACTTGACCTCTGATGGTATGCTGTGATATCTGGCACCAAGCAGTCAGTAGCAGTTCCTATGGGGTCAGGGCTTTTCCCCATAGTTCTCCTTAGGGTAACAGGAGGACACAAACTAGCGTCCTCCCGTTACCCTAAGCTCAGTATACCGCGAGCTACAGCTCGCGGTATACTGAGACGCCGGAGCGGATCCCGACATCAATGTCGAGATCCCCCCAGCTGCGTGAGTGACAGCTGGCTCTGCCTATCTAGAGGCAGAGCCAGCTGTACCCGCCCCCTCCCCCGTGCGATCCGCCAGTCAGCACTGGCGGATCGGAGGGGGGAATCCAGCCCCTCCCCTGTCACGGCAGAGAGCCGTGACAGGATAGAGAGGTGAGCAAACGCCGGTATGTGTTCGCTCACCTCCCGATCTACTGAGCCGACCTGTGACAGTCTCATTGTCACAGGTCGGCTAGAACTATGAGGTGAGTGAAAATCACTCATCTCATAGTTCTCCTTTAAGTCCTGTAAGTTGGGAGGTGGGGCCTTCATGGATTGGACTTGTTTTTCCCAGCACATCCCACAGTTGCTGGAATGGATTGCCATCTGGAGAGTTTTGAGGCCAAGTCAAAGTTGCTCAAATCCTTACACTTGCCCATTTTTGTTCTTCTTCTAACACATCACCTTCAGGGACAAAATGTTCACTTGCAGCCTAATATATCCCTCCCACGTCTGGTGTCATTGTAGTAAGATAATCAATTTTATTCACTTCACCTCTCAATGGTCATGTTGTGGCTGATCGTTGTATCCTTGACATTTTTATGGTTGGGGTTAAATATATTTGACTGTAAACTAAGAATAACATTTGTAGAGGTATGACCGTAGGCTAAACCTAATATAAAACACATTCCATTAGTTATATTTTTAGCATAAAATACATGAAAGTATTATAGTTATATGGATATGGTGCACACTGTCAGTAAATGTAATGTTTAGTGGAGGTACTTAAGATAAAATTACATAAATTAAAAGAGAACTATAGCTAATTCTTTTTTTGGCTATAATTTCCTTTAGGGTCACAGGAGGACATTTACTAATGTCCTCCTGTGAACCTAGCTCAGCAAATGGCAAGCTACTGCCCACTAAATGCTGACGGCACAGAGCTGCACTGCAGCCAGGAAAGATCCTGACAATATTGTCAGGATTCAGCCCACAGCCTGATTTGAGAGCTGTCTCTGCTTCTTCAGAGCCAGTGCCCGCTCCCACCCCTCTCTGTCCCTCCAAAGAATGCTGGAGGAACAGAGAGAGGAGGGGGGAATCACTGACAGTCATCACTCTCTGCAGGGAGAAGCCGTGACCTGAGGGATCACTGGTTTGTGATCACTCGGCTATAGAGCTGGACTGTGTCAATCCCCAGCTCAAAGTATTGGGAAGAGTATATTTTGCTCTCACATTGCTCTCCTTTTTAAGAACTCAACAACATCACTTAATGGATAAAAGACTACCACGGTACACTATGTTGTGTATTTATTTAAAAAAAATAAATAAATTTGCAGAGTGATTCGTCTTGCAAAACTCAGCATACATTCATTCTGTGCAAATGGAGAAAAAATTAATTTTAGTAGATTATCTTTCCAGGTTGAATGAAATCTCCCAAAAATACTGAGTTCCAGCCACTAGGTGGAGCTGAGGAGCATTGGAAAAAAATACTACTTTCCTATACTTGGCTCCATCTAGTGGTCATAATGTGGTATTTTCCTGATAATACATTTGAACTGCAAAGAATGTTCGTTTTGTCTCCACTCGCACAGAACGAATGTATACGGAGTTTCACAGAACAAATTGCTCTACAGATATTTTTTTTTTTATAGCTACACCTCTAAATGTGTATTTGCTTCCTGATTTGTTGTAATTTTAGATTTTAAATCTCTGGACGATAAATTTCTATCCTGTGAAAATCAAGCATCCAAAAGGTTTTTGCCTGTTTTCTCTCATGTTACTCATTGGAAAATCACCAGTTGTTTTGCAATAAATGTAACACCGCTGAGTAATATATGGGCCGCACTTCAGCTGTAAGGTGATGTGAATCATCATGCATAATTTCAACATTACGTGATTGTATGCTGCTGAAATGCCACACTAATAGCACACAAAAAAATGCCCTTGTGGCTTAATACAAGACTTTATATTTATTAAAGGTATTGTTTCATATTTGCTAGATAAATATATAGTTAGGTAGAAAGGGTAAAAATCTTGCAGTAATATCTTTTAGAGGCTCTACAAGCACAATGAGGTGCGAGGTTATAGTACGTTGGATCTCTCTGTGATGAAAAAAAAAAGGTACTACATTCAGTACCTTTTTTTTTTTCCCAGTGCGCACTTACTTGGTGGTGGGGTAAACCAAGCCCACCCGTGACAAGTCAAATGAATTTGTCCTGTGTTGTGGCTGCTCTAGAAAAAATGGTGTGAATCCAACCCATATGGTGTGAACCCAGCCTAAGGGCAGCTTTACTTAGTGGATAAGAGGTATTGCATGTGTGATATTATTATATTTTTTTATTTATTTTTTAAACACATCTACATTTTTGTGATCACCAAAGAAACATACCTAGCATGTTGCACATATTGTATGCATTTTACTTTTTTGTATTATTATTATCATTTTTTAGGCTTGCATCTGAGAAAATCCATGCAGTGTTTTCTGATTACTCCCATGACAAAGTAAGCAAAGATTTAGAAATAAAGCATTTAGTATTTTAAATGGTTTGTTTCAGTGTGTGTGTGTGTGTGTGTGTGTGTGTGTGTGTGTGTGTGTTTATTTATGTGTTTATATATTTATAGACACATTTTTATTTATGAACATTTTAGTGTGTGTGTGCGTGTGTTTATATATTTATAGACACTTTTATTTATGAACATTTTAGTGTGTGTGTAAAATGTTAATATCCATTTTTTTTTTCCTTTCTTCAAGATCTCTAGAGATGAATCTGTTAAAAAGATCAGACTTGAAACCGAAGAAGTGCTAAGAGGTATAATTGGATCAGCAAATGTTCTTCAATAAAGATGCAGGGTTGTGGCCTGCATCTTTATTGAATTTATAAAATTGTCTGACATGCTCAGACTTTTATGGCTTCAGTACCACAATGCTTCAGACACCACTAACAGTTCATGTTTTTTATGCTGTTCATCCAGATGGCGGAGGAGTGGTATTGGTTGCGTTGAACTGTAAATGCATTCACAGTTGGTATGCTAGGATTTGCTTAATGATACCTCCATTAAAAATGTGTAGCTGATGTGCTGGTTCATACCCTTGTTTTGAAAATGGCAAGTACCTGGCTAATAAGGTGAAAGCCCCTCCAGGTCCTACACAGTCCTCCTTCCCACCCATTTCCCTATTTAAAAAATAGATGCCCTCTAAAGCTGGTCATTATCTAAACAAAATCATCAAGAACCGCTTGAAATTCGCTCAGCGGGTACCTCTGTCAGCAGCCTTAAATCAGGAGGAGCCATACAGAAAATTCTTAGCCAAACAGTGACTGCAGCCATGGTTCAGGTATTCTGACAGCGGCACATCTGCTGTTGTCAGAATACCAAATCCCAGCAAGAAATTAGTCGACTAATGCTGTTTAGTGTGGATGGAGGATCTGTTGCAGGATGAACAAAAAAAATAGAATAGTGTATGGCCAGCTTAACAGTGTTTTTTTACCTATTGGAATCCACCAGATATTAGTTGAGGGGCAATGAGCAATGGCTGCTCTCTCTAGAGACGCTCGATCGCTTGTAGTAGCTGCGGGTGCGCGCCCGCTGCCAGTCAGTACACGATCTTCCTTTGATCTCCTCTCTGGTCCCCGATTGCAGGAAGTGATGTATATTAAATCACTTCCTGCATTCAGTGTCACTCTCCGGTTACAGATGCCGGTGAAAAGCTGATGAAGCAGATCTGTGCTTCATCAGCTTCTCTGGGGGTCCCTAGGTGACATTAGGGGTCTTAGAGACCCCTGATGTCTCCATTAGGAGTACCTGTCATGTGATTTGGCTTTCACATAGGGGATTTCTTAGTCCCCTATGTGATAGCAATAAAGTTAAGTGTTAAAAAAAGTAAAATAACCCAAAAAATGTTTTTAAAGTCCCCGCCCCCCACATACACACGCAAACATGCGTTGGGTGCGCCAACGTGCGAAAATTACGATTCCGCCTATAGTGAGAGCAATAATTTTAGGGTCAATAATTACTGATTACACTAAACTGATGAGCGGTAAAAGCTTTTAAAGCATCGCCCATGGCCAATTTTGGGTGTGGCCGTTTTATGCGATTTTCACGGGCTCGCAAAATTTTAAAGAAGTGACATGTTTGGTGTCTATTTACCCGACGTGACCCCGTCTTTTATATTTTACCAAAAAATTGGGGTGATAATAAATGTTTCATAACATTTCATAGGGAAACAGGCTTTTTTTCCCCAAAATTTAGAGTACTTTTTTTCGTTCTATAGTAAAAAATAAAACCCCAGTGGTGATTTAAATACCATGAAAAGAAAGCTCTATCTGTCCCCAAAAATTATATAAAATTCATTTCAGTACAGCGTTGCATGACGGAATAAACGTCAGTCAAAGTACTGCAGCGCTGAATACTGAAAAATGGCCTGGCCAGGAAGGGGGTGTATACACCTGGTCTTCAACTGGTTAAAAGTAATGTGTAGTAGTTTTTGTACATAATATCTTTCTTATAGTCGGAACTAAATAAAATAAAATGGAGGTTTTTAAATTGGGTAAATATTCAATAATTCATATTGTAGAGCAATAACCTCCTTTTTCACCTTGTTTTAAACTAGCCTGCTACAGAGATTTAGGGCCTGTTCACATGAGTTTCAGGTCCGGATCTGCAGACGCGGTGCTACTGATGCAGTGTGTTTTGGCTGCGTTTTTGATGCATTCCAGTAAAAAAAAAAAAAAAATTTGCTGGAGTTTGGGCTGTTAGCTGCAGTGCAGTGCGTTCTTGGCGTGTTTTTGATGCGTTTTGGACGCTTTTTTGACGCGTATGCGTTTCCTGACCGTACAAAATGTGACATGCCGTATTTTTCTGTCGTAAGCTGAACGGACTGCGCACGTGAGAACTGTAGCCCATAAAACACATAGGGATACATTGGGATGCATTTTGAGTGCAGGAGCGTACGGATCAGGTCAGCACAGAAAACGGACGTCGTGTGAACAGGCACTAACAGCTCAAGCTGAAATCTTTACACTGTGAGTCAGGGCAGTGACTCCTCCATCTTCCTCAGTCCTACTCCTTATGAGATTTCAGTGAGGAGAAGGAGATTGCTACAGCTGTGCTTTGTCTTTTTAAAATGTGTAGTGCTCTGGGAAGCCATGTTCTTGTATTAGTTTATTGGCAAACCAAAGATCATAAACAATATTAAACATTTATAAAACCTCACTAAAACTTTTATATTAAAAAAGAAATACCCACTGCAATGTCCCTTTTAATCTGAATCTCAATGGCTGTATGGTTTATAGTTTAACAAGCAGCCAGTGTTCCCATGTTTTGTTTTCTTGTAGAGAAATTCCCAGAAGCTGATCCGTTTGAAATAATGGAGTCTTTCAGTGTTGTGTCTAAAGAAGTTTTCAGGAACAAAATTTTGAATGAATACAGAAGGTATTGTGCCTGAATTCTATAAGCTCTTCATTCATACAGATGACAAATATCGCCTTGTAATATTTTCTCTCCCTTTTTACTGCAAGGTGTGATGGCAGAGATCTTACATCACTCCGAAATATCACTTGTGAAGTGGACCTATTTGAACCTCTCCACGGCTCTGCATTATTCCAGCGTGGCCAAACGCAGGTACCAGTGTAACTTCTTTGTTTGCCAGAGCCAGGGTTCTATTCCTTTCCTTGGAAAGATGGATTAACCGCGGTACAGCGCGGCCCTCATTGCCAAAAGTGTCTGGAATAAGAACAAAAAGGGGGATTTATCAAAGCTGGCAAATCTGGAGCAGTTGCCAATGGCAACCTATCAGCTTCTGTCTTTCATTTTCAAAGCTTAACTAAACCAACTAAAAATTGGTTTAAAAAGTGATTGGTTGTTATGGGGCAGTGCTCCAGATTCTGTTTTTGCTCCAGTTTTGATGTATTGCCCCAAGACCGTATTATATATTTTTTTAGAATTTCCTGTTCCAACAGTCATTTCACAGAGCAGCTTTTCATTTTGATTGGATATTGTCAATTGCAGACAATTCCATTCTTGTTTTTAAAGCTAGCCCTACACTGGGTGAATTATGGCCATTTTGTGATGAACCAGACGCAATTCGCTTACTGGATGGCCCCGTCAGAAGCCTTCTGTGTGACATCCTTCAATACAGTGACTGCAGTCATTGTTTGGGTATTCTTACAGAGGCACACCCACTGCTGTTAATATACAATACCTGGCAGGGGAGGGGGATTCCCATTCTTATTTAGCATGGATGGGGGAAGCTGTTAGATTTTTATTTTATTTTTTTCCAGCATGCAGACTGAACCAAAAGGAAAAAAATATCATAGTGTATATGACCAGCTTCAGGCAGCTTGATGAATAAACTTCTATGTTTTTGATATGTAAACTTTGTATTTTAAGTAAACCAAACCTAGAAGGAAGCCAATCATGCTGGCCTTATCAGCTGGGAGTTGGCAGGGCCACCCACAGCCCGACATTCTGCCACGCATGGCTGGCTTAAGTCCTACTGTGCTGGAAATTGTAAGAGGCTGATATTGAGTACCTAGAGTAGTTCTATATATAATATAATGATTTTAAATCCATGCCTGGATTAAAGGAGTTCTAAAGTCACAGTATATAGTATCCTGTTGTAACATCAGCATTGTAATAGTAGTACATGCTAGAGTTGTTTCTGGGTGGGTCGGCCTGGCCTTCTCAGCTCTTACAGCTGCTCCCTGAAATCTTACTGATATTTGCTGTTTCTTAGCCATTGAGTGTACATAACAGTATCAGGATTCTGTGCTAGAAAGGTGTGTACAATTGTCCATCCCTCACAACTACCATAGCAATGCATTGTAGGCTTAAATATCTGCTTTGAAAAATTCTAGCACAGCAACATGGACCTCTGACATAGTAAATATGGAAAGGTGGGGGGATTTAGCACATTTCCAGAATGTGAACGTTATTAGTAATGTGTGAAGGAAATGTAGGGTTAAACTGATTCATTTACTCTGCATGATCCGTATAGTATACATGGATGGAAAGTAGATAATGGCTGGATTGTTGATGGTAGTGTCTCTGTAAATTGTGATCATTATTTGAGTCCTGACTGATCATGTTCTCTCTTAGGTTTTGTGTACAGTTACATTTGATTCCATGGAATCCAGTCTGAAAGTTGATCACATAGCAACAGCATTAAGGTTTGTTCAAGATGACATGTCTCTGGGTCTGCTTAGATTTCCTGCAGTCTTCTCTCCTCATTGTAAGGTTCTTGCCAGATTCACTGCTCCTTAACTCTTTTTTTAACATTAATATATTTAGTTATATTTCCAAAGTTCATTCAACTTTTTTTTTTTTTTTTTTTTTTACTTCATTGCTCATAAGCCCCCTATGTGATGGCATATTAGTGGTGACAAATTCTTTTAAAGGTGACATTGGTGGTCTATTAGACCCCTAGTGTCACCTTCCTTTCTACTTCAAAGAAGCTATTCAAGTGCAGATCACGGTTGAATAGCTTCTTCCCTGTCTTCTCTAGCCAGATAATGACAGCTGAGGAACCAAAAGTGATGCAGTCGGCCCCATTCAGTGCGAAGATCGTCTGGTCTCGCTTCCTGCCATCACCCGTGATGCAAATCCCTGGCACGCCGGAGGGGCAGTGGAGCCAGGAAAGCAAGA